GTTTTTCGTTAAAATGATATTGTCCTACGGACCCGGTTTAACGATAGAATTCGTTCCGTGTTTTCGTAATGTAGCAGAAAGAAACACGGGCGATAACTCGCATAGTGCATTTACTAGGAACAATCTAGAGAGTTCCGAATGTAAACACGGCCGGTAATTTGAATCGAGAGAAAAAACGTTGAGAAAATTAATTGGATTTTCGTATTTATATGGATTATTTTTTGGGATAAAAGGCATAAGCAATCTCAAGAAGGTTTGTTTTGATTATTTTGGTAGTTGTTCCCAGTGCAAATCATTTTATATTCTTCAAAATCGTTTTGGAGTGGATCCGCTCCGATTTGCTACATTACAAGTATATGGGACGTATTCTAACTGTGGTGAGGGCCTGTACCGAGACACAGTTAGATTATTCTAACTATTAGTCGACAGGTTATATTCCATAGTTTTGAAAATCTACGAAATGATTAAATAACAAGAAATGAATAAATAAACAAAGAAAGAAAAAATAAAATAAATAAATATTTTTTTAAACGTTTCAACATAAGTTTACATAACATTGGTTCAACAATGTCGGCCCAACATTAAAGTATGTCCATACTTCAACATTAAAAATAACAATGTTCAGGCACGTAGCAACGGGGGGGGGGGGGCTGGGCCTATAGTGAAATCAAGGTTGGCCTTGAAAAAAGTTGGCCACCACCACCCCATCCTTTTGCTTGTCAATTTTTTTAGGTAATTAAAAAAAAAAAATGGGCCCCCCCCCCCCCATTTTTGAGAACGATGCTACGTGCCCCTATGTTGGCCCGACGTTGGAACAATGTCAGTGCACCAACTGTTGTAATTACAATGTCGGACCGATGTTGGTACAATGTCAATGTACCAACTGTTGTAATTACAATGTCGGACCGATGTTGGAACAATGTCAATACACCGACTGTTGTAATGACAATGTCGGACCGATGTTGGTCCAATATCGTTCTGCCAACCGCGATATGTAGCCGATCTACCAACCACATGCCAACATCGGCCCAACGTCAGCTTGCTATCTGGGTTAGGGGTTTCCTGAATTAGAGCGTCAATGTCTGCGCCAAAGTAGCTAAAATATGATGCCGGGGTGCTTCTTTAAATACATGTTCTACAGTATACATGTATAAACTTGGACCTTCACAGCAGCAAAAAGATTTAAAATTGTGAAAAATATGACTGGAATTGTAATCTGACCTCAACATCAACCAGAAAAAAACCTGTATCGATGTTGTAGTGACTTGTGTTGTGTATACTGATCAAGTTTTCTTGTTGTTATTTAGATGGAGCTTCGACGATCTTCGAGGATTCGGCGTCGCCGCCTGGCACGCCGACTACGTGATGGACTTCCCAGTAAGTATTATAACACACAATCTACATTTCTTAGTTGATAAGAATAGTACAAGAAAAAAATCTGAGGTTCTTGTCTACATTTTTATCGTGCTATCATTTAATGATTATGATTCCATTTTTCTGTCTTTATTGACTTTCTGTTCATTATCTCCACAACAGTGACGCACTTTCAGTTCATTATCTCCACAACAGTTACATTGTACGCACATTTACCTCAAATTTGACATATGGATACGTCATAGGAATATGTATACACATGTACCCAGTCAAGTTTGAATTTGGTCATGATCCAATGAGTTTTGCCAGAGTTATTCCTCTTGAACTAAAAAAATATGAGAAATTTCAGTTTCCATGCACTATCTACAGTTTGAAAGGATTTATGTATAGGGTGTTATTTTACCAGAATATTCAGGTCAAATTGCTGTCTGTCGGTCGGTCCATTTAGTTTCCGTTCATTTTTCTTCACAACCATTGCACATACTGAAATGAAATTTGGTATACAGGTATATCAGATAAATATCTAGGTCAAAATGTGTTGTGGATATGATCGCCCAATTTTTGACAGTGTTGTGCCCCTTGGACTTAGAAAAATTTTAACTATTTACAGTTTCCGTTCATTTTCTTTAGAGAGGTTGCACACATTAAAATGGAATTTAGCATACAGATTAGTCAGATGAATATCTAGGTCAAGTTCTGTTTTGGATATGATCACACCATTTTTAGCTCTACTGGTCAGAGATCAGAAGAGCTTATGCGATGGTAAGGTGTCCGTCTGTCTGTCTGTCTGTCTGTCCGTCTGTGCAAAAGACACACATTTGGTTATATATTGGGTACTCAAATCCAAGTTATTGGATACATTGGATACAAAAGTGTACACACGAGAGAGCATTATTTGGGTATCTACTGTTCAAATCTTATTGGATATTAATCCTCGTGTCCGTATTTTATTGGGTTTTTTCTTATTGTTTTTTATTCATTCCAAATTTATTATATATTTAATATTTGCTGGTAAATTCAGACAAGACTGAAAAACCTTTGGTTTTGAACCCATATTTTTGTCAATTTCTGTGATATAACTCTTTTATTGTAACACCTAACTAATTTGTTCTTAGCAATAAGGATTTACACCTGTATATTTCAAAATATCTAATATTAAAATATATGAATACCTAAGTGCAAAAAAAAAAAAAAAAACTAAATTGTGCAAACACAACTCAACATATCTCAGACTCTGTTCAACCTTTCTTGAATAACAAAAATAAGTATTTAAGGAGAAACCTTTTTGAGTCATGACCAATTAATAATAAGCAAATGCCCATTACATGTTGGGCAGAATGAAGGTAGCCAACAGGCATTGGACAGGTGTCCAAAACCTGTTGGGTTGTATTTTGACAAAGGGATTAAAATACCCAAGAATAATTGAACATGTGTACATTGTCCAATTCTATTTGGGTTTCTTGAATCTCCTCATCAAAATACAACCCAACAGGTAATGGACACCTGTCCAACTCCTCTTGGATATCTACATACCACCCAACAGGTAATGGACACTTGTCCAATTCTTCTTGGGTTTCTTGAATTGTTTCATCAGAATACCACCCAACAGGTAATGACACCTGACATCTGTCCAATCCCACCCAACAAGCAATGGACACTTGTCTCCAAAATACAACCCAACAGGTAATGGACACCTGTCCAACTCCTCTTGGATATCTACATACCACCCAACAGGTAATGGACACTTGTCCAATTCTTCTTTTGGAATTGTTTCATCAGAATAACCCAACAGGTAATGGACTCCTCATATATTCAAAATACACTTGTCTAATTCTTGGGTTTCTTGAATTGGCATCATCAAAATACAACCCAACAGGTAATGGACACCTGTCCAACTCCTCTTGGATATCTAGGACCCAACAGGTAATGACACTTGTCCAATTCTTCTTGGGTTTCTTGAATTGTTTCATCAGAATACCACCCAACAGGTAATGGACATCTGTCCAACTCCTCTTGGATATCTACATCCCACCCAACAAGCAATGGACACTTGTCCAATTCTTCTTGGGTTTCTTGAATTGTTTCATCAAAATACAACCCAACAGGTAATGGACTCCTGTCCAACTCCTCTTGGATATCTACATCCCACCCAACAAGTAATGGACACTAGTCTAATTATTCTTGGGTTTCTTCAATTGTTTCATCAGAATACCACCCAACAGGTAATGGACATCTGTCCAACTCCTCTTGGATATCTACATCCCACCCAACAGGCAATGGACACTTGTCTAATTCTTGGGTTTCTTGAGAATCTCCTCATAAGAATACTACCCAATATGTAATGGACACTTGTCTTGGATATCTTCATCCCTTCAATAGTATATAAATTAAAAGGTATTGGACATTCTTGTTGGGTTACTCAAAATTTTTTCATAAGAAAGAAAACCCAATAGGTATTGGACATTGGTTCAACTCCTCTTGGATATTACATCCCAACATTAGAATAAAACCCAACAGGTAATGTTTACTTGTCCAACTCTTCTTTGGTTACTTATACCCTTCATTAAAATTGTCAAATTTGTCTTGGATATTTATACTCTTGCATTAGATTGCAAACCCAATAAGTATGACATTTACCTTCCCTAGTTGAATTCAAATTTATCTGCATAAGCATACATAAGTCCAAAACATATTTAATACTTTAATTCTAACATTCCACATCTCATTCAGTGTACACTTTACAAATGATAGGAAATATATAAGCATTTTGTGCCTAAACTATTTGGCTTTTAAAGAATTTTATAACCATGTTTGCAAAATTTAAATTTAAATATTGGAACTTGGAGCAAGTCATTACAGGTAGAGCAAGATGCTGAAAACCATATTGATAAATAGATCACACCCTTGATAAAATATTTGCCTTCAGTTGCTAAGATTGTGTTGTATTATATGGAAAATTTCTATAATCCTGTTTATTACAGATACATGTACAATGCATATTTTCCCTGTAATAATAAAAATACTTCTGAGATGTAAAAGAATGGATTTAATAGTCACCGATGTTAAAAGATATTACATGTATCTCATTAATCTGGTTTGGAAATCACAAACTTAGTTTTGAAGCCGATTAAACAGTGTCGCACCAGAAAACCCAGTTACAAGTACAATGAATGAATTCGTTGTATCAAAACTTTAAAATAATTGATGCACTATGTCCAAATCTTTTCGACAAATCGGGATAAAGATATTAAATCAAATCATCACTGTTATAAGTCTTAGAGCAAGAGAAAAGTCATTACATGCCCAAATTTTACATGTAAGGCTTTGATCCTATATTTCAATAAATGTCAAAATGGTTTTATTTTTGTTTCTCTTCCATACTTTCTTCTTCAGGGTCTCTCATGGCCTATACTGTATGATACCTCCATTGACCCTGCTCTTTTATATTGCCATATGTTTATCCAGTAGCAGTGGTTATGCTCAGGCAATCTTTGAAATATTCCTCATTTCATGCATCTCCTTCAAATCTGCCTCTGTCCTTTTTATTCATTCTGCAATTAGATAAAGGCATTTCTTTGCCGTATAAAACATGTTTTTCTTGACTACAGTAAGATCACCCTTTATGTTGATCAAACCCAACCAAGAAGTAGAAGTATATTTCTTATTCAGAAATATGTATTGATAAATAAAATGGAAGAAAAACTAAATTCTATCAACTCTTTTTTGTTTCTTCTATGTCTAACTGCATCTTCATCCTACCCCCATCTGCCATAATTTTATCAAAATGGAATCATCATTCAACACACAAAACGATGTTGCATATTAATTAGACAGTTTGTTAGTTTCTGATTGTTAAGAAGGAGATTTTAAAAAGATTTTACACCTATTCCTTGCAAATTTTAGACTTCTAATGTAACACTATCAGTACATTAGGGGTACATAATCTTCAAAAACATCTCTACACTTAATGATAAAGCTTTCACATTAGTATTGTTTTTAGCCCAATGGTTCTGCTAAAGAGGATTTAAAATTGACCCAAACCTTACTAACTGCTTTGAAATTATATTGACAGGGACAGAGACACACTTGACACTCCATCCCCCTTCCTGGGGTATGCTTTGCACAAAATTTAATTAAAATTGACTAAGCTGGATAGAAGTTGAAAATATGAAAAATTACAGTCAAACAGAATATGAATAACTTTCACCACATCAGACATGAAGTAGTTATCCTTAAATAAAATACACCTGCAAGATGAAGCTATTTTATTCCTTTGAAGTGATATCTATCTCTTGTTTCTTTTCCTGTTATACACGTATTAACATATAACCTTTGACCGAATAGTACCACGGTATTTACTTTACAATTAATTAAGTTCTGGAACCCACCCTCAGATGCCCTTAAAACAAATGATTCAAAACTGGCAAAGGTAAAGGGCAGAAGAATATAAAATAAAATGATAGTACAAACAAGCAAACAGTGTGCATGTAAATGTTGGCAAACACTAGAAAAAATACTAAGGTACTTTCTCAAACTCAACATGAATACTAAAGAGGTTTTATGTAGCTGTATTGCACATACCAAAAGCTTTCCTGCGTTAAAGATTGGTTGCCTAGTAGTTATGTAGTATGTACAAGTTTTTTCCTCTATTTCTTCTAATTTAAGAAGCGAAAATGTCTCTAAAAATCTTATGGTTGGCATGAAGTATTCCTGACCATTTTACTGATTACTTACAATTGTCCTATTTCTGAGGGTCATCTTCTGATGAGTGTGTTCTCTGCAATGTTCACAATTGAAGTTCCTGTTTTACCTGTTAAATATTGAAAATCCTCAATGAATATGATTATGGTTTTAATTTCCATTGCAATTATTGATTACTTTTATTAAAAAAAATCTAAACCAATTTATTGTAACATAATACTTAGGAAAATATTTATGAAATATCAATGGAAAAAAGGAATCATTATCTCCAGTTATCCTAAAATCACAAGTAAGCATTAATCATATAAATTCACATACGTAAACCCATTAGCTTTTTGTGCTATCAAATCATAGTCATCGCTGTGCAATAAATGAAATCAAGTACTAATCCACAGCTTGGTGGCAATAAAGTAACCATCCCTGAGTAAAAAGTAACAAGCCCAAATATAGAGGCAAAAATTAAAAAGTAACATTGAAAAAAAGTTCATCGTGAAAAAAGTCAGGGTATTAACTACAGATGATTCTTTTTAAAATTAAAGTTTAATTTAATTTTCGCCAGTAAAATTTAATCATATATGAATTAATGATTTAAAAAAATGAAAATTTTTTTTTTTAAATATTCCTTTTCTGGTCATTCACCAGTTCGTCTGATTAAAACAAAGCAAAAATCATTTTGTTTTCATCTTGAATCATTTGAAGCCATATATGGCATATGTACAATGAAAATCATTAGACTGAAATTATAAAAACTTATTATTTGTATCTGCTATCATTAATTTATATAAACATGATAAAGATAGAAATTTTCCATGAATTACAAAATCTAAGTCAATTGCGTTATAAAGATATCAAAATTGAATTTGGATTCTCGAAATTTTCTACGACTTGGAAGAAAATACACCTGTACAAAAGATTTAAATAACACATTACAAAGAAGATAAAATTGTATTATTAGATAAAACGAGGTGTTCTCCGTGCTCCAGACTGTATGAAAAGCTTTAATTAAAATGTTTTAACTACATTTCTTTACTTAATTTTGTATTTTTCAAAAATATATTTTTTGATCAGTTACGCCATATACATGTATGGCTTTAAATAAAAAAAAGCGCAACATAATTGCATGACACTTATCATTGAGGTGATTGAGTGAATGTATATAATTTAATAATGAGATATTGTGAGGCATACATGTACATGCAAATATTGCTATATTAAACAAAGGAAAGGGGGGAGTTCAGATCAGGAAAAAAAGATTGTTTTTAAGTAAAACAGTCTGGTAGTACTGCAAAATAGATGCAGTTGTGGAGATTTATGGATAATATTTAGGAGCATGCTGTCTGGAATATTTCCATATAGGGAATTAAATAACAAAAAGGAGTGAACATACCGGTGGTGCTTTTCATGTATTACATGTGTATTTTAAAATTCCTAAGAGGAATACGTTATATCGCGACTTCCAATGAGTACCTCGCAGTTATCTAACTTACTACCACTCTTTTGCGGGGAGAAAACCATTTCTGGGGGCAAATGACATTGTGTACAGTAGTGACAATCGAATGATTCGAACAATTTAATGCCGAAATCACCATGTTTTGCCAGATATTGAACTCCAAATAGTAGATTGTCAAATAAGGAAAGTTTAGAATATTTTATCTGCTTAAAAATGTGACAATTTTCAATAAAAATTTAAGATGCTTAATTAAAAATATCACACCCTCTCTATATATTAGGCTGGTTCAGCGATTGTTTAGCGAGGTATTCCACCAGGATTTTTTACTTATCTGTCCTTTTAAATGCTACAATGATCAATCTTGCATTGTATTGAAAAGCATTCCTACCTCCTTTGCAGAGTAAGTTGTAATCGCGATTAAATTCCTAAGTGCAGAAAACCACTAGCCCGGGTAGCCCCATCCTCAAAAATGGAAGCCCCATCATTTGAAATAGTTATAGTAGCCCTATATCAATTTCAGTATTGTTTTAAATTAATTAAAACAAATGCCAAAAACAATAATTTAAAAAAAATCAAAATAAAGCAGACACTCAAAATCAAAGACAGAAAGAAGCACTGTTTTGACAGAACGTTTTTCAGTAATACAATGAATCCCTTACATATCAGATGAGATAAACTTACATACAATTATTTAGTTGCTGTCAATTATCTCATTTATCTTCATCTCAGCTCACTTTGCGATTGTAATACTGTCTACATAAACCGATAATTTACAGCTGATTTATGAACACACGATTGTTAAAATTTTCATTTCCCTTTCCAATATACATTGTCAGAACATACTTAGTTGGTTATGATATAAAATTAAATAATTAACACTTTCGATTTATTAAAGATTATCTAACAATATACGATCATTTACTAAATACTTCTCGCCCTCAAGAGAGTTAAAAAGACAGAGAAAATTCAAAATACATACAAGTGCAACTTAGGATTAATTGTTCCGATATATCTACTTTAATTTTGTGCACAATTGTTTTCAATATTGCATTAAAATCAATTTTCCTTAAACAAGAACCCAGCAATAGATAAATATTAAGCGAATAAACTTACCTTTTCTCTTGTCAATCAGACAATCTTGTAATTGACATTAAGTGTTTCTTAGACGCCATATTTTTTTTCCATGAAAACAAACGTTGTTATGATCAGGATCAACGGAAGTTGATTTCAGGAACTATTCAGAAATTAGAGTTGCCAAATGTGGAAACTGAAACACAAAACACGGTGCGTCCGGTGAAAGCCACTTTTTTTGGACACTTTTTTGGACAAATCGTCGTGTCCAAGTTTTGTGTGGGTACTAACCTGCAAATACCCAATTCAGGTATTTTAAGCATATTCAGCGACACTTCTTATTGGGTATACCCAATAAGCAAAAAGTACCCAATAAGTACAATCTTGACATGAAAAATACCCAATAAATGCAACAAAGATTGCCCATGACCCAAGGGTTTGTCATGACCTTGACCCTAGGTCATTTTGGGGAAGTTCAAGGTCACTGGAGGAAAAATTTCATGTGTGTGATACATATCTTTATTATGGAAAAACTTGCTTCTGAAAAACCCAGCGGGGGTATTTTGTCCCGTTTGGACAGTTCTAGTTTTCTTTGAAGAGGATGCACATATTGAAATGGAATTTAGTATACAGATTAGTCAGATAAATATCGAGGTCAAGTTTTATTTTGGGTGTGATCGCACCATTTTTGACAGAGTTATGCCCCTTGAACTTAGAAAAATTCCAATTATATGCAGTTTCCGTTCATTTTTTTTAGAGGTCGCACATATTGAAATGGAATTTAGTATACAGACTAGTCAGATAAATATCTAGGTCAAGTTCTGTTTTGGGTATGATAGCACCATTTTTGACAGAGTTATGCCCCATGGACGTAGCAAAAATTCCAATTATTTTCAGTTTCTGTTCATTTCCT